TCCCACAATGATATGAGTAGAGCTGACGTTTCCATTGAATTTCACATTGCCTTGCTTTCCCAAAAGTTTTCCTTCATCACCTTAAACGAAATAGGGTGAATACCTCTCATATTACTTATTTACTGGTAGTCTTGAAACTCTACTCGAATACGAATATAGGTGTAATGTCGCAAATACAAACTAAATAGGGCGAACTTAGGCCGTCTTAATACTTTTTATAGTATATCAATGAACCACCATATAAGAGAAAGAGATCAGTGGTATAATATCTGAAGCAGTTAAATGCCACCTAGGTTATCGATAGGAAATGATCTCGTACTACATCGGAAAAAACACACACGATTATTCATTATTTCGTAGTACATGCATGGGATTGACTCCTTGCATGCTCAAAGGCATTTTGCCAGACAAATTTGACCATTTCAAATTCGCTCTCAAGTCTACTTCCATGTGTCGGAAAGTATAAAGTGAGGTGTTCCACCGTGTCTAACTTTTCCCGAACAGACACCATTCCAGAGTAGCACTTATACGCCTTATCTTAATAGATATCCCTCTTCATATTTACCCAATCACACTGTCAGATGGACCAGATTTAATTAGCACTGACAATAAACAAGGTCCAATAAAATTTCGATTATTCCGCTTCCCCGAAAAGCATTCGCAAAGTATGGTCCCACTACACCATACCTACTAAGTATTTCCCTAAAGTGGAGCAGAGTGAAATGGAAATTAGCTGAAAATGATTCTAATTATGCTAGCCAAATATGACGCGCCAACTATATAAGGCTTCATCTTGGCTAAAGACCGAGATCTAGTTGTGCTACTCAAGACCTAGAATCGGATAACAAGAGGTTTCCCAAAGTAATCAGAGAATACATCATTTTGTAAAAAAATTCGTCAAAGGAAAATTTGGCGTAAAATGATCCGTGCGAAAAAGATATACGACTACCCATAGGAATTCTAAATAAAAATATGGACGTGAGGGATCGGATTAATTTTCCACTAGCCACCAACTAGGAGATACCAAGTAGTGGACTTGAATGCAAAAAATGCCAACAAATCATTAATTCACTCGACTTTTTAAACATTTAGTTAACGAATAGGAAGAAGGGACGTGCATGGAGTTGACACCTTACATGATCATAGGCATTTTGCCAGGCAGAACCAATTCAAAGTTGCGCTCAAATCTGCCCATATCTCCATCGGAAGAAGGGATGCCTTGGGATTAAATAAGATATATTTATGTACAAAGCATGGCAATGAAACCGTTATTCATACAGATCGAAGTCGATACGATTAATATTATAGAAAGGACCTTCCTCCTTGTTTGCCTGGCGGACTAAAATAACAGATTCATTATTAAACTTTCCTTCCGATAACCAGGATTGCATTTGTTTTGTATCATAAGGTCCCTCAATAGGAAAATCAGAGTGGTACGATTTCTTTATCTCCCAAAACACCTTGCTTTCTTTGTCATGTTGCGAACTGGAGTGAGTTTCCTGAGTACTAGCCTTTGAATGACCATTATTCGACGCCAAAGTGCCTCCTGTAATATAATTTGAATACAAAATCTGATAAAAGCAAAGAACTAGGTCAAAGTGGAATGAGAGAAATCTATGAAAATATTTACTTATGAATAGATTGTCCATTTTGCATGAGCAAAATGTACAATCGATGCCGATAGACACATGTAATAAAGTCGTCACTCAAGAAATTCTAAATAGTAATAAGCTCACTAAAAAATAAAGCGGCTAGGATTTTTACAGGCAAATAGCCTTGAAAGAGTTATAAAGCAAAACTTCTAAAGACTTGATGACTTTTACCTTTGCATTTAGATTCTGAGTCAAAGGCCTCTCCAAATGCATCTAATTCATCATCTTCTGCTTTCGTCTTACTAAGCAATAAAATCTCTTCAAGCTCTTCTCGGGATTTTTGATAAATATCGAAATCACCACTCTGAAGCAAGCGATCTGCCAGCTCAGTCAGACGTATAAGCCCCTCAGGATCCCCACTAGAATACGAAAAAATTATCACTTATAACATTAAAATCCTCTTAAAAATGTGAAAGCAGACATCAATATGATTTATAATATGAAAATGCAAGGAAAATGACACTAACCTGTCATGGGTAGCTTCAGGGCCCTTCAATCTAGCCTTGAGCCAACGTTGACTTGCTGAAGAAGACTTTTTGGGGTCTGAACAAGCACTCATCCTCTTGATAGCACGAAGAATGTTTTCCTTTTTATTCAAAAATGCGACCGTCTGCTCGTACATCCTCATTTTTTCTGGCAAGGTAAGTGATAAATCTTCGTCTCGAGCTATGTCTGTTTCTTTGTATTTGCCGGCATTTTGCATTTTTTTTACTTCCAGCCAGTCTATATCTTCTAGCCAATTATCTGTTTGTTGTGTCTAAACAAAATTTTAGTGACGTAATGAAATGCCTTCTTATTAAATATAAAATTTCCAGAACCATCAACATATCCATCTTCAAGCTCATCCTTCATATTGAAAGGAGTAATTCTTATTTCTTCATCATACTCAATTGTCGCATCCTCCTGGCCTATAAAATAAGAAGTAAATCCTGTAAAGTCTAACCCTTAATATCATCTCCTCGCACCCTTTCATCCTCATCTTCGATATCCTCCTCATCGCTATCAAGTGTGTGTTTAGATAATTTTTCCTTGTAGGCATCCTGGAGGAGCTACACAAGACTAGTTGAGAAGGTGACCAAAACCTGGAGTTCGCTTTGCCGCTTCGGCATTCCAAAGGATACGCCAACCAAATTTTCTAGCACTACGAAAGGCCCGCTCCAGACTATCCTATAAATAGCCTGGTAAGGCTTTAATAAAGCGTTTTAATTTATTAGAAATGGCTTTTGAACCGTTCTTTTTTTTGACTTTTTGTGGCGTCTGTGTTACATATGCTATTGGTCTTCGATAAATTAACCATACACAATTTTGTCGCATATTATTTATGTTCCAGATGAACAGCCTGGAAGTTCCATGGATTATAATAAGCATATCTAATGCAAAATACCTTTTGTTTTGATTGATTGAATCTTATTCCAACCAATATTGCTACTGCAATGAATGATTGATTCAAACTGACGATAAGGGGTAGATGAAGAAATGAATATCAGAATTTGGTTCCAGATAAAGAGCTTAAAAGTATTTACAGAAATATATAGAAAAAGACTATATACGCTGGGTGATGCTCGTCAGAACCTAGAACACAGCAAATAATTTAATCCGGATGTTATAGGT